ATCCCTAGTGATAAAAGCTATTGATTATTTCCAGAAATGAGTTAAAAATAGGTTTTGCAGCACTTATCTTTTAGGTACTTACTGGCAAATGAAGTTCAAAGCAGTATTCCAAGTTGACTACTTGCAGTTTCACTTTTCATAGAAAAATTGAATATTCACTGAGCAAGACAGAAACCCATCCAGAAGCATGACTCTGATGTGGTGATTAATGCCTTTCATGGACAGTAGGTGTCCAGTTCCTATTCCAACAGCTTTTTAAATATTTAATATTGATTTCATTTAAGCAAGGTTTGGAACACAAATCTTCTACCACTAAAGGAAACTTTAACTGAAAACCCTCATGGCCCCAGCAAAGGAGAGCCTATGGTAGTCACAGCATATGACAGGAAAAAAAAAACAAAAAGAAAAAAAAAAAGAGGAGGCAGGCTTTAATTTTCTAAGGAAAGAGGTAGATGAATGTAGTTTTTTCACAAGGTAGCTAAGCACTCCAACTGTTAAATTACTCTCTCTACTGTGGGAAGGTAAGAGGGCACTACTTCCACCCCCAGAAGTTTCTTACATAAGGCCAAAGTTGGCAGCCTTGTTAAAGACAGCCAAGCTGTTTTATTCCTATGGAAGACCATCTACATTGAAGATTACAATGACTGTTCAATAACAGTCCTATACAAATGGACACAGTATGAAACCATTCTGAGTATGCCAAGAAATGTAATTTTAAGCTCAAAGTATATTTTCTAATGAAAAATAGACTGTGTAACTTTGTCTGGATTTGGGGTTAAAGCAGCTGTTGAGTAGTAGTTCCAAAAAATCCAAGTACTAGATGTAAATATCTTCACAATAAAGGGAAAACCTGATGCCTAAATTCTTCTGTGTATTTATTTATCACAGAGCATCCACAACATCCAGGAAATAAATTAGAAACTCAAGAGTTCAGCATATCAGATCTAGCTCCTGAATTTATACAATCCATTATATTGTATTAGAATTATTACCAGGTTTTTATTTTCTGAAATTTTCAGGTGCATGCACTATACTGTGCACACTAACGTGTGTTCTTGCCCTTTCTCAAAAGATAAAAGATAAAAATATAAAAGGAATAGTTTTGTTTGCACAGGAAAAGCGTAATTAATACCTTCCTTTCCTGAATAGACTCTGTAAGAAATATTCAGAATTTTCTCCTGTATAGAAATGAAACAGAGCTTTTTACAGTGAAAGAGGAAGAACAGTTATGGAAGACTTGCTAACATTAAAGAAAAAAGTAAAGTTCTTATTTCTTCTATCTCACTTTCTTGTTCACAGTAATCAGCTATGCTCTTCCTGAGTATTTATTTGCATCACTTTGTTTTGCTTTTATGATATTGATAGGTTTTTCCACTGATAGTCCTGAGAGGAAGAGGTAGAATAAAAGGGAAAGCCAGAATTTGTACATCCTCTATAGCCATCTTAAATGCATGCAGGAAGGCTTCTGTCTTAGGCAACAACAGAAAAAATTCTTTTTCAGACAGTAACAAATGTTTTAACATGAAACTGCAACAGGAAACCTAAGAATTTGAGCTCACAGAGTATCTTGCATGTTTTAAGTTTTGAGTGAAGTATCTGTCTAGGTGCAGAATTTTCAATGGTTTTTGTGTTTTTTCTTATTTTTTTTTCACAATTTGTTTTAGACCTGGGTCTTGAGAGGGGATAAATTGATTGATTTGTAAGGCTGAAGTAGTTTCAGCATTCACAGTATAATGGACCTCTTAAACCTTTTCTACCAGAAATTCTTGCAGCACTTCCCTAATCTTCACAGAAACCAAATCCTTCACCAGATCACATCATCCAAGTTTATCACACCAGTTTTCTCACACCAGTTTTCACCTTGCTTTTTTTCCTTATTGTCCCAGGAAAGAGAACACCATCAAGATATGGCTTGTGACAAGTGAAACACTGGACCACAGAGGGGCAAACAGCATATATGGAAGATGAAGCAACTATTTAGTGCACCTCATACTATCACTGAGGTACTAAACACACTCCATGAAGGTCAACATCAGTGGGAGAGGTGATTAGATCACTAAGTGCCTGATTTGATGTATTCATTTCCCACCAGGATCTAATATTCCAAGCTTTTTTCTCTGTTGTCCCTCCAGAAATCTCTCATAGGGCAAAATGTTGAACATTGCTGTCATCCGGATGGTCACCAGGTAAAGTCTTTACTATTTATTGGAAAGAAAACAATAAAATATTATTATGAAAATGAAAACTAGGTAATAGGATTGGGGGATAAAGGGAAGTGTCTATTTGAAATGAAATACAGATTATTATTCTTTTAAGTGCATCAGCAGCACTGACTACAATATCATAATCATTAAAAATTATGAGATGCACTTGGGAACCATGCATTAGTATTGATTGAAGTTAGGTACTCTAAATATCCATATGGATTTCTTGCATTTACATGGGAAAAGTATGCAATCTACAGATTCACATAAATCCTTCCTGTCTATCAGATATAAAGTTCTGTGATGTGTGAAGTATTTCTGAAGAGCTGGAAATGCTCACTGAAATAAGCAGGTAGAAGTTTCAAAACAAGCAAAATGCAGTGTTTTTCCACACAGCAGGAATTAAATTGTAAAACAGATTGTCAGAAAATAGTGTGGTAGTCTGCATTATGAATAGGTTCAAGAACAGATTCACGAAGGTTAAATTTGTTGATGGATGTTGAACATCATCTGCAACCTCTAGCTGAGTTCTCTAAACTGACCAGAGGCTGCTAAAATATAAGCCTGTCTATATCTTGCTTCCTGCAATTTTTTTTTCTATGCATTTGCTAATGGCCATTGTCAGAGAGAGGTTATTTTGGTCTGATTTGATGTGACACTTTTTGCATTTTTAAATACTCAAAGACAGAAACTTAACCAAATTCATAGGATGTACACAAAATCTGGGCACAGTTTATGTCCCTGACTTCTTAAGAGTGCCCTGTGCCCATCTTCAGCCTTTGTGCTGGTTGCCCCCAGTGCAAGAGTCACCACAGATTAGACCCTGGGCATTTTCTTCCTTGAGAATGTTAAACAACTGCATTGGGGAATAATAAAAAAGATATCTTATTCAGCAAAAGAGGAAATAATAGAGTGACTGGAGCAAGAAAGATAAGCTCTGCAAAAGGAAAATTTTAAAGAAACAGTAACAGAAAAAGAAAGAGAAATAGTGTTTAATTATGCAAATCTGATAGTGCCTGCCCTGCCAGTTGTACAAGATAAAACCCATGGTTTTCAGCATGTCAGCATAAAGCCTGTATCAGCCTAACAGCTGGGCTACCATGCCCATGAGAGCACCAGTCGTTATTTGAGACCACATCAGACCTTCACAGCAGTGGCTCCAGAACTTCCACTGAAGACTATTACCGGCAGATGCTGCAAGTTTTGAGATATACCACCAGTTCTGCTCAGTAAGACTACATTAGTATTCCTGTGTTACTGGTGGCAAAAAGGGAAGCTGATTATGCACTGCTCTCCAGTAAAATAAATGCCATCAATGGAAGTCAGAAAAAACCCTGAATAATGATTGATGGATATGAGGGAACTAATCTGAGCTATGTTGTCTTCAAAATATAGGGCAGCATGAAGCTCCTATGGCCTAAGTTTCAGAAAATAAGGTTGGTTTTTTTTTTAAATACTTGTTATGCAAGAAATAACATTTCCCAGACTTGAGTTTCTTGTCACAATGTTGTCTACATTGTCCATTTCATCTTTCTATGTCCATATAATCTGTTGAATCATGATTCCCTATACTCTGGGATATACCATAAAAGCAAATTAATAAATCACACCACACCTATGTCACTGCCTAATAGACTTTAAGAATAAATGTAATCATAGACAAAATATCTTAGAAAAAAAATTGAGTAGAAGAGGACAGATGACAAGAGTAGGTATTGATCAAAAAAATTAGAATAGTCCTGACTGAAAACCCTATTAAATGCTGTTGTATTTTTTCATATGTAGCTTATTTTTTGAGATATCTATCTTCTTCAGTGGCACTATTGAAGAATATGTCAATGAAATATAAGAATGATTTCCATCAGCTGTCTATGCTGGATGTTCATCTTTCACCTGACAGTCTGTCGCCACAAAGACTTGTTCTTTTACACTGAGCAGTGTATCATCCTTCTAGAATCAAAGAGTAGTTTATTTTTTAATTGAGTTTTTACCTTCAGGGGTCACAATTCCTGTGCATATTTTGGACAACACCTAAGACAACAGCAGCATAACTGAGTGGTTCTGAGCAGCAAACTGCTGTTGGACAGTGCACAAATGCTCTGATTTACCTGTACCTGAAAGTACCAATGTTATGTGACTGCACCAGGTTGGCCCTGCCTAGATGTGGGATCCCACCAAAGCTGGTCTACTGCACCCTCCTCATTTGGACATGGAAGAGAAAATATGATGAAAGGTTCATGGATCAGGATAAAGATATGCAGAGATCACTCACTAGTTACTGTCATAGGCAAAACAGACTCCACACAGGGAAATTATTTTAATTTATTAACAATCAAATCAGAATAGGATGATAAGAAATAAGCCCAATGCTTAAAATACCTTCCCCCAACCCCTCCCTTCTCCTAGGGCACAAATTCACCTGATATTTTCTCTACATCCTCCCCCTAATGATGCAGTGGGACAGAGAATGGAGATAACAGTCAGTTCATCTGAGATTCATCTTTGCTGTTCCTTCCTCCTCAGGAGGACTCACAGTCTTCCCCTGCTCCACCATGTGATCCCTCCCACAGGCATCAGTCCTCCATAAACTTCTCCAATATAAGTCCTTCCCATGAGCTGCACTTCTTCACAAACTGCTCCAGTATGGGTCTCTTCCACAGGATGCAGTCCTTAATGAACAGGCTGCTCCAGCATGGGTCCCCTGTGGGATCAAAGTCCTGCCAGCAAATCTGCTCCAGTGTGGGCTACTCTTTCTATGGGTCCACAGGTTCTTCCAGGAGCCTGCTCCAGTGTGGGCTTCCAACAGCATCACAGCCTGCTTCAGGCATCCATCTGTTCTGGCAGAGGTCTCCTCCAGGCTCCCCCATGTACTGCCATGGGCTGCAGGGTCATAGATGCTTCACCATGGCCTGCACCACATACTGCAGGGGAATCTCTGGCCCCTGGAGCACTTCCTACACTTCTTCAGTGATTTGGGTGCCTGCATTTGTTCCTCTCCCACGTTCTCTCTGCTCTCTCCCAGCTGTAGTTGCCTTTGCACAGGTTATTTCCCTCTTCTTAATTGTGCTCTCTCAGAGGCTCTACCACTTTTGCTGGTGGGCTCAGCTTTGGCCAGAAGTGGGTCTGTCTTGGAACCAGCTAGCATAGCTTTACTGGGAGAAGCTTCTAAAAACTTCTCACAGAAGTTTAATTTATTAACAATCAAATCACTGTAGCATCCCAGCTACCAAAACTTGGCAACACAAAACCAATACTGTGACAAAGCATATTCAAAATATTAATGCAAATATAGCTATCCTGCAAATATGGTCTGCAGAGTGATGCACAATATCAAAAGAAATTTGGTACATATTCTACAGTGGTAAAACTGGGTAGATACTTCTTTTCCACCAGAACCTGCCCACTTCTTACAAACAGCCTGTTTATCAGAAAGAAAAATGGAACCACAAGGAACTGTATTTAATTACCATCAATGGAGGATAAATGTAAAAATGATGAATACTCATAGAGGAAATAGAAGTGGAGGTGAAACTGATTGTTTTTAGTTCTGGCCATGGACAACAGCCTCCACTGTGCTATATCGACAGTAGTGTTTGAGTCGGCTTCATTCCAAATTCTGATTTTTATTGGCTTTGTAATCACAAATGTTTTGTTCCAGGCTACATCAGATCCAGGTTGGTATTTCATTTCTTTAGGGTTTTTTTGTTAGTTTTTTGGGCTTTTTTTCTGTTGTGGTTATTGTTTTAATACACAGAATTACATAATTTCAGCAGTTTTAAAGAAAAATTTCATTCCCTTGAGGAATTCTTCTTCCTAAAATAATAACACAACACTAATAGGTTTGGAAACTTTGCTTAATTCAGATACTAACGAGGAGATAAGAATAGTACATGCTTAATACGGTGTGTATTCATTCCCTTTACAGAACTCTATTGCACTCAGATTCTGAAGATTCTCACGTTAAGTACAGCACAAATTTCTTTATGTTGAAAACTGCTGAGATCTGCAATTTTCTCTTATGGCAGTGCAAACTTCTGGTATTTGGCACTAATATCTAGGCTCTGACTGCAAACAGTACCTTCTGCCCTTCCGAAGCATCCTTAAACTTTGTGCTAAAGCTTGTTCTGCAGGTAGAATGAGCTCAGACATGTTTTATTGTGCAGTATGCCCATATTCTATTATTCAACAAATGGATTTTCTCTTCCATAAATGTTTTTGGAAAAAAAAGGTTGTTTTTCCTTCTGAATGTCTAGCATCTTATAAGTACTGCATCCACAAGTCTGTTTCTTTAACAAATATTCTGGTAAGTACAATTTTTTCTAACTCTGTGGATAAACTGAGATGCATTACTGGAAAGTGGGCTTAAAAAGTCAATAAAGAATTAAGACCAAAATAAAATGTCTATACAACATGAAATCTTGAGAACCCATCCTACAGTCCTTATTCAGTCAGCTCCCATTCTGAAGGCAAGAGGATAGAAAGGCTTGAGAAAAACAACTGTGCTTGTAGATGTTGAAATTACTGTGGTTCAAACTACCATAAAAATAAAATAGTGTAAAAGAGATGCATGAGGTGAAGTGACAGAAGATTCTAGCTCAGTCACCTTATTCCATATATAGAAAGGATATATCTGCACTTACCATTTCTAACAACAGAAACTCAGATTTATAGATGCAACAAGAATAAACACTTATAAAAAATCAATTAGGTGTCTGTTTAAAGAGAACTAGTAATTTGAGTATATATGACAAAAAAGGAAAACAGAATTCACTTTGACAAAACAACTTCTCAATTTTCCTTCTAATGTGATATGACTCATCTCAAATCTATTGCAAAGCGGTAAACAAACTACACCAACACAGTGACCATCATCTGCCAGGAACATTTTAAAAAGAAAACCATTACTGAGCTACTTTTCTTGTCTTCTATACAGAGAAATGTATTTTCCCAGCAGAAACAGCATTTCACATTATCTTCTTTCCATTACCATGTTTTCATCAGGGCTAACAGCAACCAAAGAAATACCTCATTAAGCCAGTAATTTATTTCTTAGGAATTAAATTAAATTAGTTTAGACTAGTTTTAGTTCTTTTTCAAAACAGTCTATTTCAATTAAAACAAATAACAAAAGGGAAGTTTAGTTTGATTATTAATAGCATTGTACAGGGGACTTATCTGGGATACAATTTTAAATATGCGGACAACACCCTTTTGGTATTATTTCTCATTCATTGAACTAATGTTATAATTGTAACTGTAACAAAAATAAAATGTTTAGTCCATCTTTGTTCTATAATCCTTCTGTAATCTAATTACCTCAAAATAACTGCAAGATAAAATACTGTCATGAGGATCAAAATGACAGCTATAAGCTGGGCTCTCCAGTATTCATTATCCATTATTTTTATGATAACTATTTATTATTATCATATAGCTAATAAAAAAAGTCTAAGTCACTTGATAATGCATCTGAAGTCAGCTCCACTGCTGATGTAAATCATTAGAGATCCACAAAAAGGGTTACATGATGTTATATTTTTTGCAATACTTTTTGTTTGTAGATCTTACAATCTTTTGGGTCAGGCCCCTTACTGTGTTAAATGATACTAAATTTAAAAAAAGAGAGCAACTTCAATTTCCAAAATATCCCCTGATTCATTGCTTTAAAGAAATTACTTCAAAGCTTCTCAGGAGTTGACAAGAAAAATCTAAATTGTCATGGCAACATGGGTTGAAGAAATCCTTCTTTGCTGCTTGCATAGATCATCTCCATGCTATCAGCCTGTTTACTAAATGTTGCTAAAGAAAGCAATTAAAGGTTAATCTTTCCTCAGAACCAAATAAATTATATAACCAGTGAAAGCCAGTGGAGTGAGATACATTTCAGATAGGTCAAAAAAATTTGAGGCATCATTTATCTTTAAGGAAATAACACCAAGTTGCAGGGCAGACAACATGCTGGAGGGAAGTGACAACATTCTGCCAGGACAGACTCAAGAGGTGGGCCTGTGAAAACCTCATAAAACTTAACAAGATCAATTTTAAGGTCCTGCACAGGAGTTGGGGCAATCCCAAGCATAAACACAGGCTGGAAAGAGAATGACTTAAGAGTAGCCCTGAGGAGAAGAAGGACATGGGGTGTTGGTGGATGAGAAGTTCAAATGACGCAGCAATGTGCGCTTGCAGCCCAGAAAGCCAAACATAAACTGAGCTGCATTGAAAGAAACAGGACCAGCATGTTGAGGGAGGTGATTCTACCCCTCTACGTGCTCTCATGAAATCCCACCTGGAGCACTGTGTCCAGCTCTGGGCCCCTGACATAGTAACAATATACCTGTTGGAGCAACTCCAGAGAAGGCCATAAAAGACGATCAGAGGGCTGGAGTACCTCTCCTATGGAGACAGGCTGGGAGAGCTGGGGCTGTTCAGTGTGAAGAAGAAAACTCTCCAGGAAGACCTTAGATGGTCTACCTAAAGATGGCCTACAAGCAAGAGAGTGAGGGACTTTTCACAAGAACATGTAGTGATTGGACAAGGGGAAAAGGCTTCAAAGTGGAGGACAGTAGGTTTAGATTAGACTTTACAGTGAAATTATTGGCTGTGAGAATAATCAGGCACTGCAACAGGTTGCCCAGAGAAGCTGTTCATATTCTATCCCTGAAAGTGTTCAAAGTCAGGTTGGATTTGGTTTTGAGTAACATGGTCTAGTGGAAGGTGAGCCTGCCAGTGGCAAAGGAGTTAGAATAAGGTGATCTTTAAGGTTTAGCCCAAACCATTCTGTGATCCTAGAAAGCATTTCTGTGGTCAATTTCATAACAAACCAAGAGTTTGAATTTTGTTTAATGTGTTAGATTTGTTCTAGCATCCTCGTTTCAATGCAAGTTATCTGTGTGATATGTGGCTATAACAAAGGCAAGATAAAAAGTCTTTTAAGGTTAATGAGATTTGTTAAATTCTGTGAGTTCTCCAACTTTTAGATCAGGTCCTAACTAGTTAAAATCTGATGTAAAGCAACCCAAACTATCTAACTGATGATTAGAGTGTGTCTAATTTGCCTACTTCTGCATAGCAGAATGCTTTTTTTCCTTACAACTAGTTTCAAGTTAACTAAATTATGTACCAGGAAAAAAAAAAAAAAAGGAAGATTTCTGTATTTTAATCTATGTTAATCAAATTTAAAAATAAAGCCTTCCTTATACAGATTTCACAGGAAATATAAACAGAAATAATTAAGTACAACTAATGATCAAAATGCTACTCTGCTGTCACTGTTGACTTCATAAGATCTATTAACACTACATTTTCAGTGTAAGAGCCACTGCAAACAATGGGTCAAAATGTGTGCTGAGGATATTTGCATGCTAAGATAAAGAATATCAATTTCTTCTGAGAGATATCTACAAATGAAGAGGGTCTCTGATTGTGATATTAGCAGTCATTTGATTGAAATGAGCTTCTGAAAGTGAATTATAAAATGTTTTCCCCTCCCCCTCAAAAAAATGCTTGGTATGACACAATCTATGTATTATAGGAAACATCAGCAGGATACCAATAGAGAATCTGGCTGCTGGGGCAAAGCTAAAATAGTGTACTTAGTCACTTGAATGCAGTCAGCTTCTGCATTGATATCCCACAAACATTAGTGAGAACAGTGTGATTTGTCATGACCATTTGTTTCACAGCCAGAAGCATGCAAAATTGGTCTAAAAATAAGTTACATTTTGCTTTTTTTTTTTATTTTATCAAACTGGCTTTTTCAAAAATTTCACTGTTGTGTAAACATCATTCTTTCTTTCCTTTTTTCCTTGCCCTCACAGTCACTTACATTTTTTTTCTATGTTCAGGGCAAGGCAGGTTCTGTAAGCTCATGTATATTCCTGCAATATCTAGCCACATGCTTCCTAACATCAGCTGCTTCTTGACAAAGTGACCTCCCTGTTCCTTGCAGCTCTGTGTCGTACAGCAGCAGTGTGATGTGGATCCTGAGTTCCACGGTGTGTGTTATGTGCACCATGACTTGAGGTTGAGCCCCAAGGCACTCATACAAGGCAAGCTCAAGCAAAATGCCCAGAGCCAAGCCTAAGAGCTCAGACATGTATTCTGGATACACTCTGCAAAGCAAGCCAAGCTAACCCACACATTTCAGCAGCAGGCATTGCAAGCACAGTGAGGATGCTTTAAATCCAAGCTACGGCTGGGCCAGTATTTAAAAAATAAAATAACCTGGTCTCCAATGTGTTTAGGCCCACCCTTGAACCCAACTTCCAAGTGCAGGGCAAGGCTGGCTGCCCTTTTGTTCCCAGTGCACTGTAAATTGCTTGTGTTTCAGCAAGAGTGTAAGCAAAATAAAAGTTTGAATGTCTATGTTCTTTTGGAGTTTCTGTGTGAACACAATATGGCAAGTAATGCAGGTCAAAGGAAGTAAACAATTATTTATGCAATATTGTATCATGGCTATATTTGATCTGAAAATCATAGAATGGTTGAGGGGAAAAAAAATATCCCTAAACCCAGATTTATTCTGTGACAAATGTCAAAGGTTTGCTGCGAACATCAGAATTATAAGAACATTTCAATAAAAACCCTCGAACACAGGTTTCAAAATTATTTTCTATCAAAAAAAACAAACAAAACAAACAAACAAAAAAACAAACAAAAAAAAACAAACAAAGAAAACCAAGGAAAACTATCAAACAAGAAAGAATAAATATAAAAAATAAGCAAAACTTAATGTTTGGTGAAATTACATGAAAAAAAAAAACATTGCCTTGTAATTGAACACAAGGCACAAAGCAAGTACTGCAAAATGTAATTTTTAAATGCTGACCGTATTTCATGCAAATTTGCAAAACAAACACTGCATAAAAAGTTTTATTCATTATTATTTATTCAAGTCTGTGTCAGCTGCACTGCTGCAAATGTTTCTTTCGGAAAGCCACTGTGCAACCAAGACATGAATACGGAACATGATTCTGTACTTCCATATCCATAGGATACTGTACAACAGATATAAAACATACAGAGAATAAAATGATACTAGGTTTCTCTGTGTATTGTTCATAATGCCTTTAAAGGAAAAAGCAGAAAATAAAAAAAGGAAGTAAGGTAGAGGCCAGATGCTCAGAGATACCAGAGATACCAGGGATACCAGAGATACTGTTAAAAAACAGAATGCTTCCACATATACATAAATATATTAATATTATGAAGGCTTGTTGCTGTGATTCATTTAGTTTTCTATTTTTAAAGTCATTCATGGATGCAAACATTGTCAGAGGTTCTCATCCACAAGAGCTCAAATTAAACAGGGTCTGACTCCACCATTCAGCTGCAATGTCCACTTTGTCTGGATCATTTGGAGTAGCAATCTGTTCAAAAGTAGCCAATTGAGCTATTTCTGAAATCAATATGAATTTCAGTTTCCAATGCAGCAGAATTGTGCTCTCAGAACTGCCTGAAGTTACCTTTTACTGGACAGGGGAGACAAGACATTTTCTTGAAAGAAGTCAAATAACTATTTCAGAATATGCATGAAGGTATCATTAAAATGCATAATTAAATAATTAAAAAGCTGTAAGAAACTGTGATTAATTTTTATGGTGTAAATTAAAGCATTACTATAATTTCTAGAAAATGTGACTTTTTTTTCTTATTTCTTTTCTAAAAGCAGTTCATTGAAGATATTCTGATTAATCAAGAGTTCTGGTTAATCGTCAGCAATGTAAGAGTGATTAAATCTTGTTTTGTCCTTTAAATTAATCTCCCTCCAGGTAAAAATGGCAAGAAACTACCATCACTTTCTTTTCTTTTTCTTTTTTCCTATATGAGAAAGAAATGCAGAAAAAAATATTATCTCTGAGAAAGTAAGACTTGGTATTAGAAATAATATGCATTATTACTATTGAAAGAGTGCATGCATGCCTTTATTTACCATTCAATTACTAAATGCAGACAACAGATATATGTTGCCTTTGGGTGTCAATATAACACTAACAATAATCCAAGTAATTTGTGTAAGTAGTTATTCCTCTGAGAAATGCTTATAACAAATACAGTGTAGGTTTCTTTAAATGCAACAGAAATGTCACATAGTGGAGTGAAGTCTTTCATCCAGCCAGAACAAAGATGTGTCAGGACAAAGAAAGATCTCACAGCTTTCCTCAGGCATTAATGACATTTTTTCCCCTATTTCAAAAGTTTGTGGTTGATAAAAAATGGTTTAAGGGAAATTACAGCTGACGTAGAAAAGTAAAACTTCTAAGTAAAAGAAAGTGATTCATACACATTAGAAGAATTTACATATGATTCTTATTCTTTTCTCACTGCAAAAATTGGACGAACATCCAATTTATCTCAGTCTGATGTGGCTAATTTTGCAGCCGTATAGAGAACTAGAGGCTAGATTCTTATTCTGTGACCCTGACTTGAATCGAGTTGTACACTTGAGTTTTTTATTAAAGATCACACTTATTAGAGATCACACTTTATTAGAGGTCTCACATTTATGCTACTGCTTTGGTGGATTGTACAGTTAAACCAGCAATTCCCCTTTCCACACTGCATCCCCTGCCGGCTACAGGCAGCCCGGCACTATGCTGCAGTGTCGGTGCTCACACAGAAAGCTGTTTGCCAGCAGAATAATGTCATCATTGCTGAAGAGAAACATGATGGTTCAATACAGATTTGAGCAAGATGAAATTACATCTTATCTTTAAATCCACTGGAGGTTTTATACTGTGACACTATCAAGCCGTCACTTCTCCGAGGAAAGGTTACAAGAGGGAGTTAACGTGATGGTGTACGGATTACATCTTGAAAAAGTTGAAAACAGTGGGCCCTGATGCTTTTCAGCCTTTCTATAGAGCATGGTAGATCTTGAATGTATAACTCAAACTATTTACAGTTTCAGATTGCTCCTAATTTGTTTGGACAAGAGTTTTTATTAGTGTAAATGCTATTGAGGCATAAGTGCCATAGGTGTCTTTTTAAAAACTTGCCTATACCAATGCATATATAATACTAATACACACCATGAGTAAAAATAAGAGGAAGTGCCTGCATAGACAAAGCAGTCTGCCAGCAGAAAAATGACAACTGCCCTTCCCAAACAAAAAATCCCAATTGTCTGATCAAAAACATACATGTCTGTATAAAGGGACATGAGAGTGAGATTCAGTAAAATAGACATATTTGCAGTATAGAAAATCTGCAGAATGATTATCTATACAAATCAGAGATGGTGCGGAAGTGGTCTCAGGTTTCAATACATCCTGAAGTTCCATGTCTGTTTATGTTGTCATGTGCCTGTAAACCATCTCCAGCTCCTCACCACAGTATCCTGTTCCACACACACACCAGAGAAACTGAAAAATCTTTACTGGCTGACAGTGGGAATTCAAAACTCAACTATGGGTTCAAGAGTCTAAAATAAGTGTTTGGTGAATCTTTGTTGAATTGATATGCTCTCCACTACATTATATTCAAGTTGACCAAGTTTCCTATTCCTATACATAGTTAAGGGCATCATATACATATCTCGATGCAAGAAAAATAGGGCAGATTCATATCTTGCCAAAAACTAAATGCATTTTTACTTTAAAATATTACATGGTCAGAGCTGGATATTCTCTACTGTGCCTTTCTACACCAAATTCCTCATTGAGCTGGGGGATGGAGAATGCATCCATCAAACACTTGGTTTTACAGCTGGGTGTTCAATACCTTGCTCTGATGTTCTTTTAAAAATTCCTTTTTCTCAATGCATTTTCCCCAGAATTTCTTTAGTCTTCTCTGGAAGAGAATGGAGCCTCTCTAGAGAGACCAGCCTCATACTTTGAAAAGCACTGCTTTGGAGAAAAAAAAAAATACTTTAAAAGAGACAAACACTCTCAGTCCAAGAGGAGTAGGCCTTAAACAGAGTGGTAGTTTTGTGTGATGTAGTTGTAGCAATTATTTTGACAAAGTGATAGCAGGAAACAGAAGGTACATAAAATGTTTTGAGAATTATTTATTTATTTTTTAGAACAAAATCCTGAGCTGTAGATGTGAGAGTCCTTTCACTGTCTGTATCTAATTTAAGAACAGAAATGTTTTCCATTTGCTATTTCCATTAATCTGAATGACACCTCTGTGCACAAGCCTGCTTATGTACATTTAGTTTGAGCAAACTGAGTGGCAATGAAGGTGCTGTATTTTGGTTATCTAAACATGTCCAGGAAATTACCTTGAAAACATGTACTGGAACAACTCTAGGTATTAAGCAGTATATATTTCTACTAGAATATAGGTTCTACTGAATATAGGTTGACCACAGACATTAGTTCACAGTAGAAATGTATTTTACTCTTTTTTTTTCTTGAATTTTAGTCTGAATTGAGTCTAAATCTACCATTTGTTCTATACCAGACCAGTATGACTTTTTGCAGAAATTATACTGATGTGTTGTGTCTTTCAAGAAGATCAATAGGGTGTTTTGTTTGCTGTTGTTACAATATAACATATCAGAATTAGCAAATGGCTCTATAAACAAGCCCATCTTAACATGCACAGCTGAACACCGTGCTGTCTGTCTTGTTGAAGCACAGTTGCTATGACAGGGTAGCTTCTGGGAAAGCGGTTCCTTTAAATTACTCCATACTGATTTCCATTGATGTTTAAAGCACAATTAACAGGGAAGAATTCCCCAAATGTTTTCCAAAACACTCAGGTCCATCAATCAGATTAAATCAGTCCAAAGAAATGTACAGAACTGCAGCTCAAGTCTACCACAGTGAACAATGATGAATGTTCATTTTTATCCTCCCTTGTTCCTTAAAAAAGTTACAGAAAATTCCACAGCAACAAAGGGATTCCATTTCATTTCATAACGAGGAACAATGTGGAAAGCAACCCACCTGTCATTTTACTGAAAGATATGGGCATGCCTGGGGCAACACCTCCAGAAATTCAGCACTTATTTCTTTCTTCACTTGTAAAACCTCCAAACCAAGCAAAACCTGCATGAATTCCCTTTACAGTGACCAAATTATTTGGTAGCAAGAGGCTGGCAAAACAGAGTTCTTAGAATCTAATAATTAAAATTATTTCATGAGCTGCTGAAACCCTGGGTCCTTATGTTACTAAGGAAGGAGTTTTTTCACTCTCTAAAGTATAAACGTAATTTCAGCCTCAGGACTACATTTGACTAAATATAGATATCTGTGCTCAGTTGCCTGGGAAGGTAAGCGGGAAGGAATTATGTCAACTGTCCCCGATGGTTCCCCTTCAACCTGTTGTTTGACTTCAATAAGTCAGTCTTTAGCCTTTAAGTGGGTGTGTTGCTGCTTCACGTTAAGCAGGTATAATTACATTCTGCAGAGCAGCATCAGAGGCAGTGCCCAAACGTTCCTGGCAAAGCCTTTGTATGTAAGCAAAGCACGTCGGATCGTCGCTGAATAACCATGATCCAGCCTCCAGCTTTTCGTATGTGCTGTCAGCCATGAAAAGAAAACACTTAAATGTCAAACGACATAACCGGCTCCAGTGTATTTAACAAATGAGTGGCGGGTGTCGGCCCGCCCCGGGAGCTGTCCCTCGTCCCGCGGTGGCCGTGCCCCGAGCGCGGCTGTCGGAGCAGCTCC